TTTTAAAAACTGAGGAGTGGCAAATCTGAGGGGCTAGACTGAGGTAAGGAGTGAGGAAGTAAGACAGCGTAAGGAATGAAAGGAAAAGAAGCAGAAACCAGAAAATGACTGAGAAAAAACCCTAAAGAGTGATTTCACAAATAGGCTTGGAGGGAAATCGTTCCACAATCTAAGAAAAATGCAGTTGTGAGGGAAATCGGGTCAAATAGTTCTGAGACGGACAACAAAGAGCCAGAGAGTCCAGCTCTCATGAATAATTACGTAAAAATCGCACACGTTTGCTTAATAATGTATAAGTCAGAAATATCTGCAAGAAAGAGCATTAATATTTCAACATTACAAATATTTTCATGTGTTTAATTTTAGATTGTGTTTATAACACACACACGTATATACATACATATATATTTTTTTTTAATTTTTTTTTTAAAGAGACAAGTTCTTGCTCCATCTCCCAGGCTGAAGTGAGGTGTGTAACTGTAGTTCACTGCAGCCTCAAACTCCTGTACTCAGGTGATCCTGTATCAGCCTCCTGAGTAGCTGGAACTACTGGCATGCACCACCACACCTTGATATGTCTGTTTTTATGCATATAAACCAATTTTGATAAGAATGTCTTACAGTCTGAATGAATATATGTTGCATGAATACTAAATATAGGCATACATAAATACACATATTATTCTCTATATCATTTAAGATATAATATTCTTCATATCTATAAGGTTATTGTTCCAGGAAAAGATGACAATAAATCTCAGGGATATCTAATAGCTGTTAAAGTTAACAATACAAGCAAGTCAACCCAAGTTAAAAACTGAAACTTGACTTCATCTAGCCGCAGATCTTTTGGCCAATGAAGCCTAGAAGCTCATTCTTCTAGCAGCAATTCTTCATTTCACAGCAATTCCAGATAAAACTGTTTGTTCTTCAATGAGAACTTGAACTCACTTGCTTCATCCTCCCAACTTCCTCATTCCATTTATTCTATCACACTTGTAGTCTTTCAGTCTTACAAATTCGGTTATCAGTTTTTTTGGTTTTGTTTTATTTGAGACAGAGTCTCACTTTGTCACTCTCTCCTCAGTAGAGTGCAGTGGCACCATAGCTGACAGCAACCTCAAACTCTTGCCTCAGCCTCCCAGCTAGCTGGGACTAGAGGTGCCGACTACCATGCCTGGCTAGTTTTTCTATTTTTAGTAGAGATGGGTCTCTCTGGCTCAGGTTGGTCTCCAGCTCCTGAGCTCAAGCCTTAGCTTCCCAGAGTGCTGGAATTACAGGTGTGAGCCTTTGTTATCAGTTTTAATTCATCATCTTACTCATCCTTGAGCCCTAAATCATATTAACTCTACTTTAAAATAGTCTTAAAAACGCATCCTAATTCCGCCTGTATCATCTCTCTTCTGGACTATAATTTAGACAGCATCTAAACTGAGTTCCTCCCCATCAGGTCCACCATAACCTGCCCAGCCCTCAGGCACCACCCAGCCACCCTCTGTATCTACAGATTCAACCAAGTATGGATTGAAAATATTCAGAAAAAAATAACGGTACAGTAATACAAAATTATACATATAAAAGCAACATGTCGTAACTGTCTACATAGCATTTATATTGTATTAGGTATCATACATGATCTAGAGATGATTCAAAGATAGAGGAGGATGTACATAGGTTATGTACAAATACTACATTATTTTATATCAACATCTTAAGCATGCACACGTTTTGCTGTCTGTGAGGAGGCGAAGGTCCTGTAATGAATCATCCGTGGGTATGAGAGACAACTATATTTCTTTCCATGAATCAGAGTGCTAACCATCACCCCCATATCCAAAACACTTAAGAGTTCCTAAATGCTGTTTAATCGAACACAAACTTTGCAGTCATGTTTAAAACTCTCTAACAACTGTAACTCTCAACATTTCTTTCACTACTTTTCCCACAGCCCTAAGACCCAGCCAAGACAAACTTGGAGCCCACACTAAGCCCCCACACACCCACACCCTGTTCTGCGTCTAAACCTTTGCGTGAGTTTTTCTGCCCTCACAATTTGAATGGTCCACATTTTGGAGCAACAACCTCCCTACACTTAAAGACTTAATATCACATGCTACCTCTTTTTCAAGAACTTTCAACCACAGTATGTGACCCCTACCTCAGCGAAACAGCATAGAAATCTCTAGAAACCGCATCCTGCCTTGCATTAGGGATATCTGGTACACCTCTCAGCCTCCCTGTCTGATGGTGAGCTGCCACACACTCCCCATCTTTCCATCCCCTCCAACTGCAAAGGGCCCCTGCAAAGATGAGCCCTTCATGAGTGTGCCCTACACGGAATTAAGTCCACTTCCCACTTATTAAAACTGAAACTTTTTAAGTGACATATTTTAAAAGTGATTTTAAAATGTTTTTAAGACATCAACAATTGTATGTAAATGCAATCACAGCCACCCATGGGGTTACCCAGAGATTCCTTAGAAATAGCACCTGAAAGTTTGTTTCCATGCAACCAAACAGTTTGCTGTCCTTAAAGACACATTTCACCTCAATTACTATACCACT